GCAGTAATACACAAACTGAAATTCAGTTTTAAATTACTCACAATTATTTACATTCACATATTTATATAAATGTAGTTATTTATGTAAAAAGCAAATTAAAACTGGTAATAGGAGGGGGTTAGTTTGTGATATGGCTCGTTACGCCGACCTAAATTTACTGCTCTTGGGGTTGGGTCACTCATTCACCTTAACACTTTGAATATGACTGGTAGCATTAGTGGTTTTTAGCCAGCACCCTGTGTTAGGTTCCCATTGACTTAAGGAAAAACTGCCTTAGTGTGTTCAGTCAAGTCAAGTGACAGAGAGCTATACGTCATGAAAAATGTAAAAGTTGTAAAGAAAATCATCCGTCCTGTAGTTGTCTTGAAGTAGGAAATGTTCCCCATATATACACATAAAACGATTGTGGCCTGATTGAGAGTTTTTGCTCTGGAGTGCGTCCTCCTAACAGGAAAGCACAGACTTTCTCTAAGGTGCATTTCCCTCTGATGACAGGGAGCCAGCGCGGCACAATGCACCATTGTGTACGAGCGCTGTGCTGATCCTCGGTATGTACTGTTTGACATTTGTGGCATTCCCGCCGAGTTCTACCCCGATTATGCTTATCAATGAGAGACAGACTGATGGTGGAAGATAAGGCCCTCACCAGCTTTTGAAACAGCCGCAGGACCGTTTCGAGAACAAATTCAGACATCCCTTTGGAGCCTATTAGAAGGTCAGAGATTCTGTATGATAAATGGATCTGGAGACCAAACGGCAGCATATTGTCCTGAGTTTTGAATACTTTCCTGCTCCAAGAATGCTGATGAAAACATCCTGTTGGCGCCGTTGTGCGGTATATTTTATGATGGGCTTACGTAACTGCCAGGCTCGATGTGTATTCACAGCCACTATAAAGTGGAGTGTTTTAAACATGTTTATCTGTGCTTTGAGGATTACCTGCCTTGTGCTATGACTCTTTCTGTCCTATAGAATTTGCACCTTTACTCACTGGAGCAGTGGAAACGCAAACACAGCACAAGCTCATAGCGTTTTTTGGGGGTTACTCATGAAACCGAAGCAGAGCAAATATTACTTTGGAGATGTTAGTCTGTCTGTGTGACAAATTAGTAACCACCCTTCTTCTGGATCGATTTTCTGTCACCCGTTTCAAGGGGAAATATTTTACTGTTGGAGCAACCAAATGTTCCCGTGTTCCCCAGCTAGCTGTTGACCTGTGTTTAAAGGGTTGTGTGATGGATCTTACTCAGATCAGAGCTGTAACCATTTGCCGAAATATTCAATTCAAAACCCGTAAAGCCAAAGCAACCAGACGTGAGATGCTGAAACTCACCCACAAAGCTGGGGGAAACTGCAGAGTCAGGCAGTTTTTCTCTGTGGGTTCGTCACTGGGAGCGGCTGCATTCACGAGCAAGGAGTCATGAGATGGAGATGTTGACTTAAAATAATGTGAGTAGCAGCTCCCAAACATTTTCTATGACTTATAATCAGCACATACTTTAGCTCATATTTGCACACAGCTCCTGTTGTGCAGTGACACCTCCCTGTTCTGGGGGCTTTTGTGAAGTGACTGTAAGAGTGACCTGTTGATACTGGACAAGTCACCAGTCTATACCAGGCGAACACACAGAAAGTGAGAAGACCTCAAACTCTCACATCCACAGCTAGAGCCGGATGAGAGTCAACAGTTAACCGTATCATTCTGGGGGAGGAGCACCTGCACAGACAGGTAGCAATAACATGCACGCGCCACACAGAACCACCCACTCGGTCCCTGTCTGGCTTACTTTACAAATCCTGTCTTATCTGTGGCCTTATGAATCCACACGGATCCTTTCTGTCCTCACCTCCTAATCTATATCTGTGCTCTTCCCCCATCTGAGCCTCTTATTAGCCTTTTATTGCACTGTAACCTATTCAAAGGCCACATTAGAATATCGCCTGTGAAGCAGTGAGTCTCGGGGCCCGAGGTATTCGCATCGTAAAACATAAACGTGCTGCTTCAGGGTTAATCCGTGGCTCGCAGGAAGCAGTGCTTTAACAGGATGAGTCCAGGTGAAGACACACAAAAGCAAAGTTAATGGGTGACAAACTTCAGTGATGCTCTGCTGCTCCTGCCGTCATTAACTCAGCCCAGTGAAATCCCACTGTGCTGAACGACCGCTGCGTCTGCCCGTTCTGTTATAGTCAAGTAGTGTAATCAAGTAGGTTGTTTGAGGCTAATAAGGTGTTCCTTGATTAAACTGCTCGTGCACAGTTGTAACCAGGATGGAGTTTGCTTGGAACAGCACGTCCTGTGTTTAGGAAGCAGTCGAGTCTGGTCGGGTTCTGGGCTTCAATAAACAGCTCCATCCAGTATAAATAGCAGAGCCTTTGGTCTGTTGCCACTGCGGCCGAGCGCAGCAGCAGCAGGGAGGAACAGCTGTAGTCGCTCTGTCGCCGAGGACAGATCACTCCTCAGCCATCCTGCCAGTCTTCTCTGTGCAGTCTAACATGAGCAGCGCTTGAGGACCAGAGTCTGCTGGAGGGCCTTGCTGTAATTTCAGCCCTCTACCTACTGCACGCACCTGTGTCTGTAACTGCAGGTAATCCAGTGGCTTGCTGTGTACCTTTGTGTTCTGTTTTAATACGTTTAAGTATTTGTCACAAGGGGAATGTGTCAAAAGGCGTCTCCCTTAGCAACAAAGAATTTTCCCACTCCGTAGTTTCCATCAGCTTCATATTGCCTCAATGTCTTTCATTGTTTTGGTTTTATATCCCACAACTTTGTTTGGGTTTAGTCTCACCGCTCTCATCAGCTTGGTTTCCACCTGCAGCGGGCTGATGCTTCCTGTCGGAGCATGTCAGATTTGGTACTAACCACGGAAACATGAGTGCGAGGATTTTACCAGTCTCAGTGTTTTGAATCTTTGTTTCAAAGCCACTGGAATCTCACAAGTATATACAATGTGTCATTTTACATTAGTGTCATTATGCACCAAGTTCTGGAAATGGGTCGGTGAGTCTCTCATGACCAATTTATTAAATATGGACACTTTTGTGTGCAAGCCAGACGTCACTGTATGCTTGAGATCAATTTTAGAGCCTGATCAAATTAATGGGCGGGGCTGATATTTTGGCTGATTTTAGCTGTTTGCCTGTATGTCTGTATCGGCTTTTATAACGGCTGATAAATGAATGAATATTGGAAAAAGTAAAGAAGAGGCGGGAGAAACGCCCTTATGAATGTCGATGTTGCACAATTTGTCCACTAGAGGGCACCCTGCAACATCCCGTATGGTTAGAACACTAAAACCTGATGTTCTGAGCAGAGTGCGGCACAGCGTAAACTATTCATCCGTAACTCGTTGTCATAATAAAACAAGATCTTCATTGCCAAAGTAAGGACTCAGAAATTCACATAACAAATGTTTATTTCCCATGTCCCAAAAAAAAATATCCCCTAACATGTCAGATTTTCAAATGAGCAAATATTGTTCTTATAGTGGCCGGGCTCTAATAATTTTTACATCAATGTAACAATTGGCAGGAACATTTGTATAGAACTTTAAAGTTTCCAGGTAAATAAATAAATAAAAGTCAAACTGAATTCTCCTTGTTACTATGAAATGTGGGCTAGTTTAAAAGAGGCTTTCAGGTGGGTGATGGGGCACTTGGCTCTGATCCCAGAAAAGTGTCTAAAAAGGAAGGATTAGGCTGGGTTAATTGGATAGATGGTTCAAAAAGATTAGGTGCTGCAAGGAGCATTACTTTACCCCATCAGCTCGATGCACTGAACAACAGAGGGCCTGACTGTAAACACAGAGTCCAGATATAGTGTGTTAATAATGTGCCAACAGAGCTGTCAGCCTGCAAGGAGACACTGTGCTGGAGATGTTTGCCCTCAGTGCTGTTAGGTTAGGTGTTAAACAGGAAGTTGATTGTTACATGGAGGAGTGGGTGGATGGTTACGATCTGCCAAAAGAGTCACATATACGTGCATATGTGTAGATGTATAGATAAAGAGAAGTACTGGACAAACTAAACTGGATCCTATAACGACACTAGATGAATATTTATCAAATACCATGATTACTTTTTTGTCCAACAGTTTTTGATACAGTTTACTTTTGGTGAAAAGGAAATCACTAAAGTCTGTAGATGTCTGGCACGTCTGGGTGCAAAAGCTTGCAAAGATTTCATGTTGATCAGTCAGACCAGGTATGCTGCTTCCTGCCTTTTCTGAACACTCAAGCCACACTATGTAGGCATTAAGGACACGTATAACACAACCACAGGCTAGAAGGAGCCCGGGATTGAACCACCAACCTTGCTCTACTTCTACCTATTGAGTCAAAGCTGCCTGGAAGTCTTCGCTACTCTAACCCTAAACAACTGTATGCTTAACCTTGACAACAGGCCCAGTTTGATGGTTCCTTTTCCATATCCGTCCTGCTGCAGGTCCTTCAAGCCAGACTTTGTTCTGATTCGCCAGCACGCCTACAGCATGATTCCCGGTGAGGACTTCAGGAATCTTGTCATCGGCCTCCATTTTGGCGGCGTCCCGAGCGTCAACTCAATCTTCTCCATATACAACTTCTGCAGCAAACCCTGGGTGGTAAGCGCTCCGTAACGGCTCTCTTTGCTATACTTTCACCCACACAAAGGTGTCGCAAAGTCCCTCCCTCGGCAGCTGCCTCCGACTGATTTATTTGTGCTAATAAATGGAGCTGCAACACCTGTGATTTGAGCTGGCCAGCAGAGCGGGCGGCCTCGGCCACCACGTGTTTTTAGTCGGTGCTGAGAAAAGCTACAAAAGCGCAGTGAAAAGTGTGTAGATGCTTGGCTTTGAAAGAGATCTTAAATTTAGGTTTAAAGCAGGAAATATGCAGCAGTTTTGTTAAAGGTGCCATTCTTCACTATATATTTACAGTTCTGTTACTCATTCTACAAAGCACAAGTTAAAAAATGAGGTGGTTGATCACCAGTAAGGCACCTATCATGCTGTATATGTTAACCAACTGCTGAATGCAACACGTTTAAAATAATGAACCGAAGCAGGTCTGAAGACAAATCTATTGGAAAGGAAATTCCAGCACCTCAAGAATAAATAACTCCAAGAAAGTATTACCTCGGGGTGTAAGCAAATGGATTATTGATTTTAGAAGAACAGGTGTTCAAACCCTCACACTAACAGGTGGGTCTGACTGTACCAGGCCACATTTTATAAACAAAAAAAACCAAAAACCAAACAAACCTGGAGTTTCAGACGATCCATATCCTCTGCTCCTAAAAGTCGTTAACACGCATGAATCTTATAGAAGTCTGTTTGTCCTCCTTGAATAATGACGTCTTCCTGTCTTGTTTATTTCTGCTTGCAGTTTTCTCAAATGATTAAGCTGTACCGCTCCCTCGGCCCTGAGAAATTCCCCCTGAATGAACAAACTTTTTATCCCAACCACACACAGATGGTGAGTGCCTCGCAGATATTATTCTTTATTTCAACGGGGGGGGGGGTCACTCTCACGGATGTGCGCAAAAATCACCAAAGACCTCCTGTGGAGCATTTTTCAGTAAGTCTTTATTATAAAAATATAAAACACAGAAATTAAGTCAAACATTTCTACAACCCCAACAAGGAAATATCCCCAACCCACATAATTCATAAATCAGTGTTTACACACAGACTGTACACAGCTTCCTTGATTGGATTTTTTTTTCCTTTTGACTGATTTCTGTGTTAAGCAGATAGTTTAATTACATAAACATGAACCACAGAAATAATGACACAGAAATACCACAGCTGGAGGAAGAGCTCATCATGTATGGAGGTGAAGAACAATAAACTAAATACTGCTGAAAGATTCAGTCATAAAAAAAAAATTCAGTAAAAAAAAAAATAAAAAAAATAAAATAATAATAATAATAATAATATAGAATTTTGTAGAAATTAAAGGGATAAAAAAAAAAAAAAAAAAAAAAAAAAAGTGACACAGATAACCAGAAATGGACCATAAATGAAACAACCTAGTTAGCCTAGCTTCACATAGTCTGGAAATAGCACAGCTAGCATAACCATCTCAACATATGAAACATACACAGTAGTGTTTGAACGAATTTTAAAACACCATAGTTTGTCCTTCCTCTCTACTATGCTATGCGAGGCAGTTTACAGTATCCTGCTTTAAGCTGCCATAAACTAGGCTAAATCACTGCCAAAAATAGATGCATAATTAGCACAAACATGTCAGAGTGATATCAGTATTCTTTTAGCAAACCAACAGTTTCTGTGCTTGGCGCTCTCTTAGCATAAATTACGAATGGGCTCTTCCTCTTTGTGAGGCCAGTCTGTGTCCGTTATTGGAATGGAATGAAGGGAAGTAAAAATAAGAGAAAACCCCAGACGGGAACAGGCGAACAAGAATGAATTTAGTGACAATATATTGTTACTTTCATTTATATATAATGTTCATCTCAAATAGTTAAATAAAAAAGATTGAATATACACTTACAAAATATGTCCTTCTCTGAAACCTCTGTTATAGTTTTAATTTTATCGGATTGGTAACGAGTACCAGCTTGGGGGGGGGGAGGGGTGTAGGGGATTATAATGAAGCCAAAAAAACCAAACTACCATAATAGTACCATAATGTTGAATTTGCTGATGCTGGTGCTTCATTTAATACACTGCAGTGAGTTCACGATATTATTTGGCCTGTTTTTCTTTTACGCACATATACCACATAGTATAACCCAATAAACATATAAATAAATGTAATAGAGGTTTCAGATGAGTTGATTTCTGTAGCTTATTTTATATACAGCAACAAATAAAATATCACCATCTCTGCAAGAAATTGGGCGCTTCCCCGCGCTGGCACTGTGTTACTTTTGTGAAGCAGTGCGCAACAGTCGCGTTAAAAACAGGAAGCAGACTTACTACCATTATAAAGACGTGTGTGACAGTTCAAACTGAACATAACCGATACTTCACTGTGAAACATTGTCCATTTCACAAAGGGGTTTGAAGCCAAAATAGACGTGTATCGTTAACATATATAATATGTTGGCGCTGTTTCGGCCATGTTCGGTATATTGATAGCAACAAGCTAGCTTTACTCAGCAAATTTACAAAGGATCATCTTCGTAGTATACTTCGTCTGACACCTCCTGGCTTTTGCTTTAGAGACTTCTCCTCGTTCAAATGATCCTGACACTAGCTACTAGCTAAACTGCAGGTTGCTAATTGAAGCCAATGATACTGATGCTGTAAATAATACTTATGATTAAATCTTTTCAGAAGCTCTCAGTAGGTGGAGCGAGGTCTTACACTTTTTATTGGCCCTTTCTGTCTTTGTCACCGATGTCAACTTGGTGCAAAGGACGGAGTTTGTAGTACAAGGAAAAAGGAGCCACAGGACAAGCTGTACAAATAAAGGGAGGGTGGGGGGTATTATTTTCTATCAGAAGTGCTACAAACAGGCACTGTAATAGATTTGCTCTTTTTTTTCCTTTATTACCCCTTTAAAAAGGGGGACATCACCCAGGCAGGTGAGCTCGAACAGTCCTGTAATACTCTAAACGTGACCAGGGATGGGACGGAGTTTGGGAGGCGGCAGCGAGTTTCAGTCAGAGGGCGTTTGTGTTCAGGGGTCAGTGGCATTGATGGTGGTTTTATCACGGGTGGTCATGCCTCGGTACCAGCTGCAGTAGCCCTCCTTCTGCTGGATGCAGGCGTAGTGCCGGGACTGGTAGCCGGGATAACCGAAGTGGGACAGCATGTCCGTCCATAAGCACTCGTTCTTGGAGGTCACGAAGCAGGGCAGGTAGTGGCAGGGCTTAATCTACAGAGAAAGGAGAAAAACCCGAGATGAAGCCTGACAAGCACTATCCCATGATTTGGCATGTTGCTAGAACATACATGATACTGAGTTATAACAGCTTTTTATTAGTGCTGTCAGCGTTAACCTCGTTAAAATGACGTTAACGCCATAACCACATTAACGCGGCAAATCTCCGTTAGCGAGTTAACGCGGATGGCCCCGTGCGTGGGGCTGCACGGCGTCAATGCGTTCGCGCGGTTAGCACGTTAATACGTTGACGCTGTCATTTTAACGCTGACAGCACTACTTTTTATATTATAACTAAATATCATACCATAGCACTAATTAGCTTAGCACTTATTAGCTTTGAAAGAAGAGGTTAAAACTGGCGGAAAATGGTTACACTAGTTGAGCTTGGATCTGACTTCCTAGTTAGCATAGCAAAAAGACAAATAAGCAGATTTTGGCAGTATGAAAGATGTTCCCTGAATACTTGAACAATTTACCGACTGCGTTTTCTCAAATCCTAAAGTACTTCGAGTTTACAGTATTTAGGTTTATTTATGGTTCATTATGAATTAGCTTAATGAGTGCTAAGAAAAATAGCTTGGATCTTCAAAAACACTTGACATGAAATACACGCTTGGTGAAGCAAGCAAAACATGCATCTTTGCTCTACTGCCTTTCAGCGTTTGCTTTCAGGGATTTACTGCAGAAGATTTATTGATCTGATGGGACTGGGGGAAAAAATGGCAGCTCTCTAAATAACTAAGCTCAAATCCGGTAAGTCTACACTGGCACGTGCTGCTTTGTGCGACGGAACGTTGACGTCTTCCTGAAGCAGCGAGAGTTTTTTGTAGTTTGTTAAGGATTCAGCTCGATGTTAGCCTTTCGTGCGTCACCACTCCAGGTGCTCACACAAAAAGCAGCTTCACAGATGAATATACAGCCTGAAGTGACAGGACGATTCGCATAACTAACCGGGGCGCTGCGTAACCGAGTCGTCACACTTATCTGGATATGAATTCAGCAGCAAATTCAATTAGTACATTAAAGGCCACGTTTGCCATTTTTGGCTGCTTTTGTTACTCAGGCCAAGAAAGTTTATCCTCCGTGGCTCAGAGATGTCTGACATAACTTCTCAGTTCGAGTGCTTCTAATGATCTGTAGAGAGTAATAAAACTGCCACGACATGCTTCTTCGCGCTCCAGTGCCGTAAGTCCTCATTTGTGAAGGAATGCGAAGGACAGAGGAGCTGGTTTTTTAAAATAGTGCAGTGATTTCTGTGTCTGCTTTGCGCTTAAGGGTCGTCACCGTGACGCCTCAGCTGATTGATTGCCTCCTTCGATTGCCTCTGGGCTGCTGCCACGTAAAATCTGAGCACAGTTTACTTGCTTTGGCCCGTATTGGGAACAAACAGGTCTCCCTGCTAATCCACTTATACTGATAGGGGCCCGGCGCGTTAGCAGATGTCCGCGGCGCCGCTGTACAGTAGGATGTTTATGAGGCGTTTCGACAGCTGCGCAGCAGCAAGCTACATGTGTGAGTCACATGCAATGGGAGGCTTGAGCTGATTCCAGACCTGTTACTTAATTCCCTGTGACAGTAGTAAAACTTGTTTTTTTTCTCCATTTCTATCCCAGCTAAACATCCGTGATGAATAATAGTGGGATTTATACACTTAAAAAGGAGCTCATATTTCAGTCTTGATAAAAAATAATCCGTTCAATGGCTTGCAGTAGAATTAATGATTGATTTGATTCTTCACACAGAGCCACCATAACTAAGTATACACATCCTTCCTCCTGTACTGTTTAAATCCTGTTATATTAATCAACTTTATAAGTGGTCATCCAGCAGGATAACATTTAGTTGCCTTTGGAAAAATGAGCAGCAGTAAGCTCCTCTTGAGCCTCGTCTTCCCTCATCTATCATATCCTTGTTGGGACAAAGGTTGCCTGTTGACACTCACCCTGCAGTTGCAGCCCAGCTGGTAGCGATGGTTGATGCCTTTCTTCTGCGCCAGCGAGAGGCGCTCCCACCGCTCGTTCAGGTTACACAGCCCCGTGTAAACCTTGCCGTCGTAGACTCGTCCTGTGGAAGCACAGGATATTTGGATGTCACTCTTAGATTGTGTTCTCACCTCTGTACAAAACGATGTTTAAGTACCTCTTAGTCTTTAAAAAGGACTCTGGAGTCATGCAAACAGATGTGAGGATTTGGCGTTTTTCTTTGCCAGACACATACATAACAAACTGAATCTTAGACTTTGGACCAACCAACAGAACGACATTATCGACCTAATTCACAGAAATTCAAATATTTTCCAAGGCCTTAAGGAGCCTTACAACTGTATTTACTTTGCTCTCTCTGGCGCCCAATAAAAGCATCTGTACTTGATTAATGTGTAAAGACCCACACATTAATCCCGACTCAGGTCACGATGCATGCATGCCACTTATTTTGTAATCGTTTCAGTATAACACAGGATACTGTAGTCCCATCACTCAACCAGTCCAACTTGTTTGCCCATGGTAAGACAATATCATACAGTAAGCCCATATTAAACCAGCACCTCTATTTCTGGATATCAAAATGTCAGCAGACATCTATTTTTAGTGCTGGACCATTTGCACCTTACGGACTCCCGAGACAGGTGCACAATGGCACACTGCATGTGCTCGGGAACGTTTCGATGTCATCAGTGTTGTCACCTCATGGGAATGTGACAGCTCACAAATATGTGCATCTTCGACCCCCAGTGCACCTCCCAATCGGCCTGCATAGTTGCACTGGGATTACTGGAGTCGCTTGCGGGTTTATTACATGGTGCAGAGTGTGCGACACGCACCTAAAATACTAATCGGGGTCAGCGCCCTTATGCTTGATCAAAAGAGATTTTTGCAGCTCACGCTGGAGGCCTCAGTGTGTTTAAATTGTTCTTAATACAATCCTAATTATATGGAGTTCTTTCTATAGATGCCCTGGCAGGAGCGAAAGACACTGATGTCCCCTCGCACCCGGACTGGGTAAACATAGCAGTCACTGCCCAGCAACGCCAGCTCGTTGGCTTGCACTGTGCGGTGCAGTTAGAGTATTTACAGGTCGGGACTTAGCGACAGTTACATACACCAAGCACAGCAGGGTCCAAAGTAAACTGCACCTCTGTTAGAAATAGCAACTCATAAAGTGCTTCTGCTGGAAAATGCCAGTCGCTTCCTGCTGGCTGCTAATTACGAGTTGTGTGTGAGAGGAAAAAACAAAACAAAACTGCAGTTTCTAGACGGCGAAGCTAAGGGAAATGAGTTTTAAGAGGGCCATTCCTTTGCCACCTTGCACGGTGGCAAACAGTAGGTTGTAATTAGTGGGAAACTTTGTGTGACAGGACAAACCAAGAAATCCTTGGGGAGGAGAAGTGTGTGTATCTTGCAGTGATGCTGGCTGGAAGGCCTCTGAATGTTTTCAGCACCCATTTGGTGATAAAATGGATTCAGTTTGGAGGATTTAATCATGCCACAAGCTCAAAAAAGGATATATTGAGAAAGAGTGTTGCTAACAGTTACACGTCCTCTGAGACTGTCACATACAAGCAGTCGCTAAGTTTATGTTATTACGAAACAGACCGCAAGTGGTCACTTATAACTTTCTCTGGTGCTATCACAAATGATTACCTGAAGCCATTTATCAGAAATGCCAAAGGCAGTAAAATCAAATAAAAACAGTTATTTTGGACAATCAAAGACCTTCACAATGAGGATATTTTGTAAAAGCAACTTTCAGCTCTTATCCCACCTCCAGACCCTTTAAAAGGCCTGTTTGATGTTTGATGGCTGAGAGTTAAGTCAGAATTAGGTGCCAGTTACACTCGGGGTAAAGCTTTGGCACTTAGCTGTGAACATTCAACTCGGGGGAGGAGTCTTTGGAATGCACCAATTAATCTCCTCATGACGACTCTGAGCCCCTCCCCCTACACACAGAGTGGAGAAGCCACTCCAGAATGCTTTTTAACAGAAAACTAATTTTAACCAAAACTTAATCATTGCTTGTTCCACTTACATTAAACTCGGCACTAAAAATGACTCTAAGGTGCAGACAGCCATCGAGCAAAGCTGGATAGCTTAGCTTAGAGTTTCCTTCATATAATTTGATTACGGTGACATTTTCTCCCTTAGCACAGATTTCTGTAAACGTTGCATAGCCTCGCTTTGAGAGGGTTTCTCACACTTAACGTTGATTATTTCAACAGTCTGAGTAAAAATCAGTCAATCAGAGCAAAACCACGGCTCACCTGTGATCAGGTACTGGTATTTGTTGATGTCAAACTTCACACCGCACAAACTCTCCGAGGCGTCTGTGTAAATGTGCTGCACATGCTGGACTTTTTCAAATCCTTTGTACATCTGTAAGACATGAGAATCAAACATGGAATTACACCCCCATGCTCTTTAAAAATAGGAAAGTGTAATGTTTCTGCACCATGGCACTCCATCTCTTCCTCAACCTCCACATATAAATAATGACGAATGGAAACAGCACACTGGCTTTATCAGATGACATTTCTTAAGGAGCGCCTCAGGGGAGAAGGAGTATTTGGCTCTGCCCTCAACCTAATCATAGATAACATAGCTACGTTGTGTAATATGCTTTCACTTTGATGGCGTTTTGGCAAGGTCACTGCTAAAATCCAGTCCTTCCATTCAGCTCAGTCATGTAGAGCCCGAAGTGAATGTTTGCTCTGAGAACTTTCTGGATTTTTCTTCCTCTGGCAGTGTAATCTATTTGTCTGGGAACAACAGGAAATCCCTGTTTAGATGCGGCGTTCTGAGAAAAGCAGAACAAACTGTTACTTAAGCCAGAAACTGTGGCACTTTGGGAAAGCCAAAGGCACAAGTCTCATAGGATCTGTTGAAATTTGAAAGGAATTGTGTAAGTTATTAGAGCAAAGCACTGTTTTCAGTACAAACCAGCAGACTGAAATACAAATAAATAAACCAAGAGGCTCAAAGGCCACGTCTAATTGCTGAGGATAATCCCAGAGTGGCACCTGCTATGCTTCGCCATCAACAGGCCACTTGATGTTTTTGTTACAACCTGGGATTTTACTGATGCATCGCATGACTCTACTGAAATATTTACACTCAGAGTGAGGAGTTTAGTTGAGCTCTAATGCCCGAAAGCCTGCTAATCCTCCAGCCTGGCTTCTATCTGAGCAGCAGGCCGATGTCAGCATCTGTCAGAAATATGCAGCGTTATGTAAGAATATAGAGGAAGTAAAGAATGAGCTTTCAGGGCAAGTATCCTGAAATGCTTTTCAGCTATTACACGGCAGCTGAGGGGGCGGAGAGACAGCATTGTAAGTAAAATGTAACAAGCCACGATATGTAGTCAGTTATACTTAAAAATGAGAGCAAAGATTGGTCTTCAGTTGAAAAGATGCAGAAATTTTACAATTTATTTGCTTCAGATTAAAAAAAACAAAAACCTTAAATAAGTGACAACACTGGGGGAAAAGCCAATCTTTACTAATAATAATCAGCATATTTCTTTACTGTAGTGTGACAAAAGAAAACTAGATAGGCAAGCCTCATATATACATGTATGTGTGGATATTTTCAGGCTATACAGGTAACGTCCCATGTCAGCAGATGTCATGGTTTCATGGAGCTCAGGATTAACTTGTCATCACTAGCTAGTACATATCATTAGCTAATAATAGCAAAATTCTTTTTCTCTGTTCATGAGAGCTAAAGAAAAATGTATATAAATCTTATATAGAGACCATTTTAGAATATTTAGATAGTTTGTGATTGGCTTAGTTTAGCAGAAGAACTGGAAACAACCAGCCATTTCTGTAAATGTCCAGTCAGTTGCTAATATGACTTTGAGTTAAATATGGCGCTGTAGTATAGTTAGCTATACTATAGCGGGGAAAAAACAAAACTTCGATATTGTTAAACTACTCTGTTATTTGTATAACATGTTATTTGATCCTGTTTTTGAAATGTAAACAAAAGCAAGATTAGATGTTTCGTTCCTTTTGGTCGTTTGCTACGTGTCCTGGAGATCTCTTCTTGGTCATGTTATTGCACAAACACAGGGATTAAACTGAAACTTGCCATAAAAGGATTTTGCTTTCTGTAGCTTTGTATTTAACTCAGGCAAACAGCATCGGATTAAGCAGATGTTTGTTCTCACCTTCATTTGCTTGACAGTGTAGCGCATGGTTCCAAACGGTCCATCTCTCAGGAGCTTCTTGCCCACCACTTTAGCTCGAATCACTGTGAAGAGAGCACACAGGTGCATTCCTTTTAGCGTACAACTTTCCAAGCAAATAAACACATTGCTTCTGTTAAATGCCGTTTCAGGACCAGGTTGGCACCACAGTTAACCATTTATGCATTACTTCCATTTGCTGAGAAAGCCAATAGAGAAAAATCACTAAAGGAAACAATAAGTTTGATACAGAAATGGAAGGAAAAGAGTCTGAACTAGAAAGACATGGATGTCTGCAAATAACTACTCTAGGGTGGGATTGGAAAAAAAAACAATTATGTTCACTGTTATTAACTTTTAACAATCTGAATACTAAATCTTCACATAATTAGGAAAAAGTGTGACTTTAAACAAAAACAGGGTCCCATCTTTGGGAGTACAGCTTGACAACGATCTTATCAGAGTGCAGGACCCTCATGTAAATGTTGGCGAGGTGAAAATGCTTAGCGGCAAGTTTGATTTGTTTGCTTTCACTTGTGTTGGCGTAAGGGGGCTTATTATGAAAGGCCAGGAACTGGGAGTGTACAAAACGAGTGATCATTTGAGCTGCTGCTTCAGCGCCTGCCTCGAGCTGCGGGCCCTGCATGAGCTTTCAGTCCCGCTCTGAAGTTCACCTGCTGCCCAAAGCCCAACAGCCACAGACACAACTAACACTGACTATGTTTGTTATCTTCTCCCTGTGGAATTTCCTTCCCAGATTCTTTGGGGTTTCACATTCCCCAGAAAGGGGGGAGAAAGAAATGAGGCATGTGGCATCTTCTGTTGGATTTCTGTTTGTCTAGCTGTCCTGCTAAAAGGCAAAAGGAAATTGGGCATAAAACTACAAGTCAAATAGGAAGCTATTACAGCATGGCCACCCAAAAGTGGTGACCACAGATTTATTTTAGTTATACGGTCCCCTATTTGAACCGAGACTTTATTTATGCAACACACCAAATCCTATTTTGAAGCAGTAAATTGAGCAATGCAGCCATCCAGGAGCCTCAAACAGATTTTGTGTTACTTTTCATTCATTTCAGTCTTCTTTAGTAGAAAGCGGTGGCATTTTGTTAACTGTCACTGTTAATGTCACCAAATAAAAGATTAAATCACATTAAATCGTAAATTAATAAAAAACAAAAAAAACAAAAACATGGGTCACTCCTTCCAGATTAACACACTGTTCAGAGCCCCTGCCCACCCTCTACTTTCTGAACTTTTCCAATAACTTGGTGCACAGCATTTGATCCATTAACCTGTCAGCTCGCTCTATATGAACTCAGGAGCGCTACTATATGATCAACCTCTGCTAAATGTATCTAAATGCTGTCTGACAGACGTCTGCAGCTGCAATTACAACAGCACAGGAGCACAATTACACAGGAATGTGCAGATATAACTGGATACTTTTGCCTCATTTCAGTACACTGCCGCCATTATTTTCAAATGCCACCCGAAAATGCAGTTTCATTCTCTGCCCCGGCCTCAAAACCAACCCTCAGGACTAACAAATGTTTGTGTTTGAAGAGTCACAGGTCGGCTGATTTAGCTGAAGTACATCCAGATAAGACCCCTTTGTTTTTCTTTAGACAAAAGCCACTAATTGGCCTGTGATAATAAGTGTGACGCACCAAAGACAGGATTTCCTCGATTGACCTCCTATGCATTCAGCAGTTATATTTGCAAATGACCGCAGAGCAGAGTTGCCAGCTCACATATTTAAACCCATTTCTCACATTACCCTGGTTCATCTGGAAACTACAGGTATACTAAGTAGGTACTTTCTAAACTTCTTTTAGTGTTTTTGATTGACTCAAAGTTAGCAAACTACGCTAGCTAACCTAGCCTGGCTTCCAGGTCTAAAAAAAGGAAGTCAACAGCACTTCCAGCCTTAAATGTGTATTCTTTTTAATGGCCAGCAGGAGGCGATCATCTGATTGCAAAATATAATTTGTATAAAAACATTTAGTTTATCAAAGCTAATATTTTAGTAAAACACTTTTCTTATTAGTTTATGGGGATCATCACCAGGTTCAATAAAACCTGAAGTTAAATTCAAATAAAGAACATAATTTACAAAATTACAGCCATCGTTTCTACGGTTAATAAGTGGAAGCTAGGTAACCTAGCTAAGAGTGATAATGATTGAAAAAAAAAAAGTTTGGCTTTAACAACTTTTGAACTAAACCAAGTAAAATAACACGTGTAATAGTTTTGTTACAAAAATGTATTTTAATATCAGTCATGTATTACCTGGCTGAAGGTTCACTCTATCTTGTGAGATAAATATATTAACTATTGATATATGATGTAATATTAACTATTACATCATGTTAAGTTTAGGTTAGCGAAACCTAACCTGGGCTTATGCAGTGTTCTTGCTATTGGAACTGTCAGTGACGAGTGAGGAGGAGGAGTCTTTCCCTGTGGTTGTTACTGCAACTGCAAGTATAACTAAAATATGTATGAAGAAAATTTTGATCTGGAAGCACCCTCATGAGAAGAAATGAATCTCTTTGCGCAACAAAAGCAGTAGGCTAGGCCCAGAAAGGAAAGAAAGTTGACCTCAAGTAGTTCACCAACCTATTGTTATTCAAAACAGGCTATAACCCCCCACCCTCTTCCGCCACTACCTCCCCTCAGAACACTTTCCTTGTGACGCACAGGGATTCATCTTCTGCTGAAGACCTGACACACATTTTCAACAGTGGGAGTCTTTTTGTCATAAGAGAGGTAAACAGGAAATAACCTGAAAAAAAAGAAGAAGAAAAAAAAATCCCCCTCCACTCTCTTCCCTGAAGCAGGCGATTACACAAGCATGGATGCAAATGCTAAGTCTTAAGGTGAGCGTGTAATTTAGTTAAACATTTAGCCAGCCTACGTACAATGTGGCAAACTGCAAGCATGGCAAGAATAAGGCTAGTCGTTTGAGTGTGTCTGTGGATGTGTGAGGGAGAGGAGGAAAGCAAGGCACGGGGCGCGTGACGCCGATTTTGGTATGCAGAAAGTTGTCCAAGCTTGAGGAGGCGAGTAGGAGGAAGAGGAATTCTCAGGACGACACACTACCACGCTCAAAAATAAACACTGAAACCGAATCCCCAATGCAGAGCTTTATGTCAGGTGAAAAACACTGGCGCAGAGAGCATGCAGCGCTCGCTCACATGCCAAATGGAGGGAAGCTTATGAAGCACAGGGATTTTTCTTTCCTATCACTCTGATACCATGATGGTCGATTTCTGCCAAATCAAATATAAGAACCTAACAGTCTTTAAATTTGGCTTAAATGTGCTCAAACGTAGCAGACTTCTTAAAAAGTACCCAACTGTAATGTCAGTCATCAAGCTTCTAGCTAATATTTAAGCTAAGTGAATACCAACACACAGCTGGTAATGCCAGACAAAGCAAAGTGCAGTGCATGAAAACGAAAATCCATTTAACTGCCTGTGAATTCAACTTCTTATTCACCAAATTAGAAAGTTGATTTCCCTTCATTAGAGGCTCCTGCGGGATCGAGCGACAGGAACCTTGAACCAACTACTCGTTTAAATGTTGCCGTCACGCTAGCAGACCTCAAAAATGCTAGTTGCCAGAGTTAAAATTGGTACCCTTTTGCACACTTTGGCCAAAGTATCTAAAACACAGCATCGTGCTCTACAATGAAACCTTGTATCTAAATTAGGGAGTATGCTGAGAAAGCTCTGGGAAAGGCAGTCACAACCCAACACTGGGTGCTATCTGTGCATCGTACTACCTTTGCACCTGCTTTGCATTTTCCTCTTCTTGCTTTTTATCTTTGCCACTCACCGACTTGCTGTTACTCACTCAAATCACCAGCTGCCTTTCACCTTTTTACCTGTTAGACTGCAAGTGTTGCGTAAATCTTGGTAACACTGACAGTTAGAGGTCAGTATAGATCAAACAGTACTTGTTACTATTCTTTCAAGTTCGCTAACCTTTAATAAACATACTGAAGCTGAATAAATGACAGTTTTTTTGGTTTATTCTTCATTGTGTTTTCATGTATGAGTGTTGTACCATTGTGCGTCGCCCCTGTATTGGCCTCTTGTTTTGGAACAGTTAACCCCTGGGTGGCTGTGTGGTCATTAGAAGGGAAGGGCGGGCTGGACATTCGATACGCCTGGCTCAGGGGACGAACATCCCAAGCTTGTATGGAATCCAGACTCTTTGACATCCAGACTCTCTGACATTTTAACTCACTTGAGGAAAAGTATAAAAATCTGATCCAAGCTTACATAATTCAACGGTGGGGGGAGGGAGCAGATGCTGCTAAAGGGAGTAGCTATTTACCTGAATGCTACATAACTCATTAATAGGAGGATGAGGTCACAAAGCTCAATGCCATGCATCGCTCTAAACCCACTATGCTTTGCTTGTTTCACTAAGCTCCTCTATGGATAGCAAACATCCACAGTGGGGCAGGATCCTTTCTTTCAATGGCCTGATCCCCAATCCCAAACCGAGCATAAACACATATCACGCTAATCCTCAGCTTCTAACTCGGTTTACAGCGCAAGCATGTAAAAGTTTGCTCCTGTCACCTCCAAGCATTTTGGGAATGAGCGGCATTACGAAGCAATATTGAATTTCATGGTCAAAGCTTACTCCCAGACCTCTAATCTTGCTTCGGGAGGGCTTTGGAAAAACAAGTGCTGCACATTTCCTCCTTGTGAATGGGCTGCTTTAACCCAGCTGCCTAGTAGAGGCCAACAAGGTCTTTGCATAAGGCAGCAGCCAGGTCATTGCCCAGTTCTCAGGTATGTAGCAGGGGAAAAAAGAAAACAACAAAAAACAACCAGCTACAACTCTGCCAACTCTAACAGTAGGCAGTACATTTTGGGCCTTTCTATCACGTGACCACAGAATAAAGTCTAACACAGACGGGAAACTGCAGCACATGCATGCTTTTGTATGTCACAGTTTTAGACTTGTCAAGTAAAAAGGAGACATTCTGCAATAACCTAATTTTCAACCCCTTTAACCTAATTGTGATTCATCCAGTGGAGTGCCTGCGGGTGATTGTGGGTCAGGGCCAAGAAACCAAGAGGGAAAATGCTTTGAACTCCACTGATGGTCTTAAATTTGGAAGATACAGGCTTGTTGCCTTTGATGTTGACGTTGAGAATTACAGCCCTTCTCTCCTGTCAAATGAGCATTTCAACCCTATGCCGTGTTGTTTTCCACGTCTCCGAGTCCAGCGAAGAAAGCAGGAAAGCAGGTTTCAGTTTGAGTTGACAGAAAGAAAAAAAAAAAAAGACATTCAGCCTAAAACAACAACAATAAAAAGATCTCTACACCAGTTATACAGTTAAATTGTCCATGATTTGGTAATTGCACATGCTGGGAGGCTACACTTCACCCAGAATATCCTGTGAGCATGTGACCTTTTAGTGTTTCTGAAGCGCTTCTCATCGAGGGACTGGAGGTGCGCAAGCAAACCGCAAGCATTCAAAGCACAACCCAAGCTAAGCCCAGGGCCTTGGAAATGGGATTTGTGGGGCTCACAACTGATCGCTGGCCCCCATTGAAGTCAGTCCCAGATTCTACACTGCAAGTCTCATGGGGTGCCAACACCACAAGCTATCCAAAAGATCTGAAGGACTGTGAAAGGCATCGCTTGAGCGTTTGTCAAACGGGGTCACTTGGCTGAAGACACACCCACAGGCTCTGTGATCAGTCCCCACCAAAGAGAAAACGGCCATTTTGGGGCTGTAATGTCACAGTTTCTGTTATCTCCCCTTATAAACAGTGAGATCCTCTAAAGTATGACAGGCTAAACCTGCACCACCTCCTCCTCCTCTAAGATGCTGCAGAGGATTCACCAAACCATCATTGTGAGTTGCTGCCCACGTCAGAGCTAAATGAAGTGACTTCCACCTACAGAGGCACGCTGGTTCTGTCCTCGGAATCTGAGCAAAGAGAAGCCTCCTTTTCACAGGCAAGTCTGGCAAAGCCTTAGGAAAAGCAAAGTCTTGTGGAGCGATTATGACACTCTGAGACTGGAAAAAGGAAACTGCAAATGAAATGGCATTTTTAAAGTTACACCGTGTCCTCGATGTGACGTTTTTCTTGCTGCCAAGGGGTAATAAAAATATGTGAACTGAACAGGATGTCAATCGACGAGAGAAAAGCAGGTTTATGAGAGCTGCTGGATTCTGGAAATATGAGCTTTATTATTGTTTATTGATGGTGATCCATATGCTAAATCGTTAAGGTTAACAGAGCATTTCAATGGGAAAATCTACTTTCAGAGTTAGCTGACACCACTAGCTTTGTGCCGGTATGAATACCATGCTGTACATTGAAGATAACCAACGCTAAAGCTTCAAGCTTAGCAATTTAGGCGTTGCTACCTTGATGTTTTGAAACGTGATGTAATGCCTCCAGGCTCATCCTAAACCAAATCCTCCTCTGAGACTCTAATGGGGACCACAGACCCCCCAGTACACCTCTACAGAGTTGGATGTTTTATAAGAGTCAGAGGAGTCACCACCTGCTGGCTACTGAAGAGAATGCAAGTTCAAGGCACTTAACCCTTTAAAGTATGAACTTTATATATTATATTATAAAAAATATATATATTGTGAATTTAATTGTTTCAGGTTTGGGTGTGTTCAAAAATAAAAATCACACTGATGATGTAGAAGTCTCAAAAAGTCATGTATCAAATATGGTACACTTTGCATTGCAGGTGTATTATTGAATTCTGACCAATAAGCTGTGTCCATCTTTTATCTACAGTTTATGTTCACTACCTTCAAGTTAGTTCGCTTAGCTTAACTTAGCATAAAGACAATGAAAAAAGGAGGAACCAGCCAGCCTGGTTATGTCCAAAGACTCAGCTATAATTATAAAGTTGGACAAATAAAGTCTTCTTTGCTTAATTCATACAAAAGCTTTGGCTGCAGACATCTAAATGTAGTCAAAAGGGCACTTTTAGGAAGTCTGCTTCACCTTTAAGAATAATGGGTATTATTTGTGCAGTAAATTATGATTTGTTGTGTGTATTTAACATGAAGAAGTCTCCAGTTTCATTAAGATTTTAAGGCATCAGTAACTAATGTTCTCTATAATCGTTTTCAGCCTCTACTGGTTACTAGTAGCAAGTACAAGATCATTAACAATGATGTCAGAGTGTGTTCATGTGAATTAGCTGACAGTAGGTGTTAGGGCAAACACGTGGGTTTACACACATGGTAGCTGTGTGTGTGTGTTCTGAACTGAGAGATTATTGTTTGAGCTCGGGTTAAGGATTTTAGAGTGCCTCATGACGGTTCCCACATTTTCAGGTCAAATGAGATTAAAACAAAATATCGGCTCCAGTCAGAAACCCAAATGCGAGTCTGCGCTCCTCGTCTGCAATAAAAACCGCCTTTCTGTCCCATCTGAAACACTTCAGCCCTCTCTCCCTACAGCAGAGATCAAATGATCCTCGGGTCTTTACTGGTGTTATCCAACCACAGAGGTCAGGTTGGACCGGCGTTCCAGGCTAAGCCAGATCCTAAATTCATATTATTCTGGGCAGTCAGAGAAAGCACACCCAGGCCAGTAAAACAAGCCATGTACACCTCGACCCTCCACTGCTGCTTTATCAACCCGAGGCCGGGCGTACTGAGCCACTCAACACAGACATACCAGAGCGTGCAGATAAATAAACAGTATTTGAAACATGTAAACTCACTGTGGGTCTTGTTTTCAACTGGTTCCAATTCACACCAATCAAAGCACATTCCCCCTCACCCACCCATCCTCCCACCAGAGCACAGCTTTGGGAAGAATGTGCAGACATTTGTGTCCCGAGCAAAAGCGGAATATTTGAAGTAAATTAAAAGTCAAACAGTTTTCTGACACACAGACACGCACAGAGCAACAACATTCAATCATCTGTGTGGGGAAGCCTGCTAAGGATCATCAAGGCAGATGCTGGAGGAGAACTCTGCACTCGCTCCGATTTAAACAGGTGGGACCACGAGGTGAATTGAATCAGGTGATTCTTATACTCAGGTCCCCAAGCGTCTTCATCAGTTTGGTAGTTTTTGGTCAGTGCAGGATGCTGATTAAATTGAGAGAGCTTAAAATGTCCCAGAGTTTATTAAAAATGTCCAATTCACAGTGAGAGATCCGCATGCGAAAACCCAGAAAGGACTGGAAGGAACCAGTTTTTTCACGCTCCTGTGACAAGCAAAGCTTTTATTTTAACATCTGACCTCAGTGCAGTGGTTAGAATAAAGTCACACTAATTTTCATGAGTATGAGAGGGGGAAAAAAAATCGGGGTTACCCACCTATGTCGGAGTTGCAGAAGGCGTCTTGGGGGTGCGTGAGAGCGCACGAGCAGCCCTCCGTCAGCTGGTTAACATGCAGGGTGCTGAAGATAAACAGCAGGCTGACCAGGTACACTGAGTGCATTTCTCCAAACTTTCTCACTCCCTCTCTGGAATAAAACTGTCCGACTAAGTCCGCTGAATCACCACCACACGCTGGCTGCTGCTTCAGTAAGTAGTCAGTAGATGTAGCAGGTTCTGCGAGTACCGTCCACGTCTGTAGTGCTGCTCGTCTGTCACAGCTCGCTTCTCTCTGCTCGAGCGTTTCTCCCTGATCCCGCGGAGGAGCACACGCGCACATATAAGCGCGCGACGAAAGGTTCACGCCCCTCCCTCTTCAGAGCTCGCAACCAGTGCGGCCAATCACACGCTATTAGGAATAGCAGACACGATGACATACTGGAACATTTCCCCCTCTTCATCTTATTTTCCCATACAGACCTAAATATAATAAAAACAACAACAACAACAATAACAATAATAATAATAATAATAATAATACAGAAACATAAAGTAGAGAATGAGATGTTAGCTAAAAAAATATGCGTGCAACTGTTTGATGTTGATCACAGAAGGGAAAGCGGGGTGAGATAAGTGAAGCTCAACTAGTAAAAATGTCGTCTAGCGTCATGTTCATTACAAACAGGATTTAGTTATGTAATGACTAATGAAAGACATGTAGATAGCCAGTATGAACTCACATGTCATACTGGTACATAAAAAAACAAACAATTAACACAGTTTCTAAGTAGAAATGAGCAACTAATGAATTTAAAGAGTTGTTTATCAAATCTCATTCACTAGATTAATTCCAGAAATACTTTATCTCCCCCTCTCCTCACCCCCTTCTGACTGCAAGAAGAATAACTAAATAATGAACAATGTCTCCTTTATTCTTTTGTTTCCTTTTTGCTCATTTCTCACCGAGGAGCCTCACTTAGTCATCCTGCCCACCCTCTGACGCCCCCTTTAATTACTAATGCTGAGTAATAGCAAACACAGTCTGCAGCGGCAATCCGAGGCAACCAGATGACTCTTCATCTCTGCACAGTAAAATCAACAGATGTGAGGGCAGAGAAAGCCACTCTCTTCTTTTTTCTCTCCCTCTTTAAGGTTGATCATCACTGTGCTTGAAGATTCATGTGGACCTGTGGATAGCTTCACTTTGTTTTGCAAAGGCTTTACTCAAGCCACCTGTTAGGCACATTCAGTTATATTAGCCAGTTAAAGCCTCTTTCCTCTCCCTCCTGACTGCTTCACAGATCCGCTGCTCTGTCGCCACCGGGGCTTATCTGCTGAGAGACTGAGCGAGCTATGTTAAGTGTTCACGCTGCTCGTGGTTACATAAGCGTGGCACAAATAATCATGTCGGGGAACTCTGACCCTAGATGGGCCTTCATTAATGGTTATCACGCTTTAAAGAGACATCGCAGGCACACCAAGGCTTAATTTTGTAATTAGCAGGGTACTGATAAGCATGTGAAATTTCAGTTTTAAACTTTTAATCATAAAATTTAAAGCTGACTGTTTGCCTTGTACATGTGGTCCCATTATGCTCGTTTCTTGGATTCTGTTAGAGTAAATTTGCACAACTCTAAACTCTTTAAATGCTGTTTTAGCACCTCTTTAAGCCAGCTTACTTCTGATTGCCTGCCCTTGGCAAACTGAAGGTTTGAACAGCCAGTGGGGGTGGGCCTTGTGTAACTGCTACATTAAGGACATCCCATCTTTTTGACATCATGTAGATCAAAAAGTTGAGAAGTTGTTGGCAGCATCCATTGATTTTACTGCAGAGAGATTGCTTGTTCTTGGAAAAGCATATGCCAACTTTGAGAAAATTCAGTCATTTAAAGGCCACTTAATGGATGCTTTTGTTAATGTGTCACACTCAGAAAGACTAACAGGCTGAAATACTGCACAGGCACCTCAGGACTTTCTGTTTTATCCCTCACCCATGACTCGCATCAAGAACTCATCAAAAGAAGTCAGTGTTTGTTCAGCGGTACATTCAGGTGTAACGCGTCAACGCATTTCAGCCAGCAGGACATTAACCATCTGCGGAAATTCATTTTCACAGTGTGTTATCAGAGGTACAGCCTCATCCGATGGTCAACGGCAGCTACATTTCCAGCACACATTATTGAAAACACGTCAGCTGCGTAATTGTATTCAAGCACAGAAAATGCCCATGCTGTTAGTACTGTTAGTTCAGTCTCCGACCTCAAATCCAAGCCAAATTTATTGGCATCCCCTACTGAAGCAGTGAATCTGCATGTGTCATTTGTGGCTTTGGCGATGAAAACGGGAAGGTCCAGACTAGCAGGAAGTTAAGGCCGGCTGCAGAAAGGAGTGATTCACTTGGGCCAAATTACATATGACTTCATAGCAGTGGAACAGCTCTGCATTTCTAACATATTGTATAAGATAACAACATGAATCAGGGCCAAAGAATGCACAAACCTAATATGGTGATTATTGGCATCGACTGCTTTAGAATATAAATTGTCCTTGAAGTTGTCAGAAGTGATTGTCAGCTCAGAGCCAGTTGTGCCATACTATGAGAGGCTGAGGACTGACCATTTTCTTTTCTTTCTTTTTTCTTTTTCTTCTTCTCAAGTCCCTCGAGTTTGTAGGTTCTCTGTCATCCAGGAAATGGTAGTCCTAAGTCAGGAACTCCAGGCCTCAAGGGCCGGTGTCCTGCAGGTTTTAGATTTCAACCTGGGTCAATACACCTGAACCAAATGATTCGTTCATTACCAGGCTTCTCTAGAATTCAAGACATGTTGAGGAGGTCATTTAGCCATTTAAACCAGCTGTGTTGGATCAAGGACACACCTAAAACCTACAGGACACCGGCCTTCAAGGCCTGGAGTTCGACACCTGTGTCCTAAGTGCTTGAAATTATGGCATCTGGACTAGAAGAGCACAAATCACAACAGGTGTTTGCAACTGTTGAAAATTTCCACCAATAAGAAGGGCGCTTTTTCAGTAGGGCTTTATAGATAAAAATATACTAAGTGCTATTGTCTCTTTACACTCAATGAAAGAATAAAAATATACAAGTCATCGAATTTAATATGAAATACAGAACTGTGAGAGTCTATTCAACTGAATTAAATTCAGTTTTATTTATGTAGTGCTAAATCACAACAGGAGTCACCTAAAAGTGCTTTATATTGTAAATAATACAGAGAAAACCCCATCCATCAAGAACTCCCTCATGAGCACTTACATGGTGACATGTAAGAAAAAACTCCTTTTAACAGAAAGAAACATCCAGCAGAGCCAGGCTCAGGGAGGGGCGGGGCGGGGCCATCTGCAGTGACCGGTCGGCGGTGGTGTGCGGTGAACACACTCGCACGTTGTCATGACCATTTAAGTCGTGGCACACAGTGCTCACTGAGCCCATACAATGACTTTGGACTCCTGTCGGGCACCGTGACGTCATTCTGGGATTGATTGTCCCTTCTTTGTTTTGTCCTTGCAGAGTCGTCTGCAGATGTACGTATGATAAGGAGCTATAAATGAACTTGAATGAGCCCCGCCCTCCTCTTCCTTTTGGGTCTGTTTCTCTCACTCTAATCTGGGCAGAAAGCAACATGCAAACTTTGTCCTCTGGTTTCTGTCAACAGGAATTCTTGAAAATGTAGGAAGTTGCAGAGTGAATGTTTACGAGGGAGGCCGACGGAAGGCGGCTCGAAAATGAAAAGCGCAACACTTCACTGCAAAATATTTCTCGGAATGTAGCAAGCATCAAAAAAGTGATTTATTATGTGTAGCGCAGAGCATGTGAAGGTAAATTTTCCTTTTTGGAGTGAGCAGCTGAATAGAGAGAGCTGTTCACCATATGTGTGTGGGTTCAATGTGTCTTTTTGGCTTGAGACGCTCTCGCTGGATAGTCGAGAGAGTAAGACAGATGCGTGGGGATGCTCGAGTTCAACAATAAGTTTATGTTTGAAGATTGTAGGTGCACTATTAAAAATGATAGGCCCATGCTATGCAAGCATCGTGTTCTACTTTAACTTTACTGTCAGAAATGGGACAAGATAAAACAGACGATGGCCTCCAGAATATTCTGGTTATGTGTGTCTCTCACAGTCTGTCACTGTGACTTGATCCATGCAACTGAAGGGAAAAAAAACCCTCAACACCCTCTGGAAATCATGCTGCTAAAAGTAGGCCAGCATCCTGTAAGAATAATGCAGAGCATAGTGCATTTCATCTGAAAAAGTCCAATTATAGAAAAAGGTTTGTTGTGAGGCTGGCCGTTCGCCGGGGGAACAGACAACAGCTTTGTGTACCGGAGGTCTTTAAGCCCTGGTTGACAAAAGAGAACATAGTGGTGACTCAGAGGAAATACCTTTCATCCGACTGACAGGCCTCTAGAGAGGCACAGGAAGAGTTGGAACTTGAAAAGATAGCACCACTGGGAGAGACGGTCGCCGAGGGACAGCATCCAGCCCTCACTCACCCGGCCCTGGTGTTCGGCTTACATGCCATTCCACTTAAATGGGACACACAGGATGATCTCTGCTCTGCAGCTCGACACTGTGAGGAGGACCGGCAGTGAAAGTCGTGACACAGCAGGCGCACTGGCCGTATTTCGCAGGAGGATTTGGGATCTTGCGGTTTGGCGAAGGATCTTTCTCCAACTCGCTGGGTGGCTGCGTGGACACAAAGGAAACAGCTGTTGTCCAGTGAAACTCCACTGGGTGGTAAACTGAACCGCAGGTGGAGTGTGGTTATTAGGAAGGGACTGGAAGTTATTTCACACAGTTTACCCAAACCAGTGCAGTTGGTACAAGCAGATGCTTTATCACAGGCATTTAATGTTTCTATTTTCAAGTCAGCATTGACACTATAAAGTAAAAGTATTGTTTGGCTTGTAGGCATAAAGGAAAAGTCATCCAAAGGTTGCCAGTTTGAGGCCAGATGCACGTTATTCCTCCTATCTCACAGTTTCTGTTTTCTGTACTAAAAATTTCGAGGATTGATTTGCTTAGTTCTGTACAGGGTTATGCTTCAGGTTCACCAAACATGTAAGCCTTTGATGACTGCTCCTGGGTCAGATGTGCCACGGATTGTATGGAATGCATATTTATAGTGGTTACACCTGCAGCGCGCGTTTGATGTGGAGCTGTCTGATTCACAGGCAGAGCAAGTTTGGTGAGCTTTTCTTCTGTATTCTGTGGTGTTTTCAGGTTTAAGAGTTGCTACACTGTTGCAAAACTGTGTAACAGGAGTGTGTTAACAACTACAGGTTTAAGTTACTAAGCAACCTCCAGCTCAGG